TCCATTCAACCGATTACCAACCGGTTAAGATTAATATCTATACTACCTTCGGAGCTTTACTCTAATTTTTGTCTCGATCTTGCTCGTCTTTTATGATCATTTGGGCTGCTGTCAATAGAAATAAGGCAGATTGACATTTTAAAAAAAACCAATGCCTTAACTTTTACAGCTCATATCTCGATGAATTTTGAGGCTATCTTGATGATTTAATATTCAAAAGAAAGTTTAGATCGTATGCTTTCTTTTGAATAATAAATCATTAAGATAGCCTCGAAATTCATCGAGATATGAGTTGTGAAAGTTAAGCCATTGATTTTTTTTAAAATGTCAATCTGCCTTATTTCTATTGACGGCAGCCCATTTATTTTCTTGTCGGAACTTTTCGGATCCTTACTCTCCCTACGTCATTTTGACATTTTCTCATCAGTCACCCGAAATTTATTCAGTTCGGATCGGTTAACCGATTATAGCTCAGCCGATTCAAGTCACTAGTACAAACTATAAGCTTTCTGTATGTCTGTTGGACGTTTGTGCTCTAAGAAGCCAATTAATGAACAGGAAGTCAAATCGTCGAAATATGTCTCAAACTTGGGCATAATGATAAATAAATAAAGGATTATAAAATCAGGCGTAACATGACGATTGAAATCTGTACGCGTAAAATTCTATTGGCTAAAAAGTCGCGTCATAATTAGAGTTAGAATTAAGAAAAAAAAGCTTGTAAAATTTCGCAAGGAACATTTAAATTGGAATTTTAAGTACTCCTGTTTTTTGTAAAAAGTCCAATGGATACTTAAGAAAGATCGAACACGGGATTACTAAACGTGAACGTCGTTGCATTTTTTTTTTTGTATTCAAAAAGAGTACAAGATCATATCCTATGTCTGGTTTGTTACCCGGAGACAAAAATAAAGTGATACCAAAATTGCGTCATTGATATACAATTAGTATTTAGAAACGCAATTTTGGATTTTTCTGTTGCATTTAGGTAATCGTTCCCGACTTAGTATTTTTCAAATAGTGATTTGACCGAGAAAAAAACATCAACCGATTAACCGAGTAGAATTTTTCAAAATTAATATTAACCAGTTACAGCCGGTTATGATCACTGATATGATTTACAGCTATTATCATAATTCCTGGGACATCTGCTCATTACCCGAAATCTTTTTGGTCGTTCGGTAAATTGCCTAACTCTCCGGAAACTACATCGCTATCTTCGGACCTTCAGTCCGGATGCATTGATGTAATTTCCGGAGAGTTAGGTAATTTACCGAACGACCAAAAAGATTTCGGGTAATGAGCAGGTGTCCCAGAAATTATGATAAAAGCTGTAAAAAAAAAAACAAAAAAACAGCGCAGGCTGCCCGATGTAATGATTTGAACCATTTGTGCTTTACAGCTGTTTTCATAAATTCTGGGACACCTAAAAATTTTCTCGTCTCCCAAAACCTCTTCGATCTTGTTTTTAGAATCATTTAACTTTTCGGAAACTACTTCGCTGCCTCCATATCGAAGTTCCAAGTACAGCAAAGTAGTTTCCGAAAAGGTAGGTGATTCTTAGAATGAGATCGAAGAGGTTTCGGGAAATGAGAAAAATTTTAAGTGTCCCAGAATTTATGAAAACAGCTGTAATCGGGTAACTGAACCGAACCGACCAAAACTCGGTCTTACAGCTGTTCTTATAAGTTTTGAAACATCTGGTAAAAAATTGATCGAATGATTATTTGGTCGGTTCGATAAGTTTTTATACGATAGTGTAAACTTTTATTTAGGACGTGATTAGTTATATATTTTTTATTACGGCGAAGAGTTAACCGAAGAGATTTCGGGAAACGAACAAAATTTTATTTTACCCGGAATTTATGAGAACAGCTGTAATACAAATATTAAAAAAGTTCCGAATATAATCATGATAAATGTCTTACACAAAGCAGACGCTAATAAAAAAAATATAGCGTAAGTTATAATTCTAAACAGCCAAGTAATTGTTGCAACTGAAATGAGAATTGTAATCAATTTAAGTTAAAACTATATTATAAGCTAGATCAAAAAGAAAATCAGCATGAGTCAGATGAAAATATTAATACGGTTGATCTAACAACTAAGGAACTTTTAACTTGTTCGTCTATAGTGAACATTTTGAAAATGTCTAGCTTGTCTGAAGTAACTACAGTTGAATCGAAATATCCATATTTGAAGCAATAACGAATATACTTATTTAGCAAAGCGATATACGCATCATTAGGTAATCGAACATTGCCGAAATCACAACTTATCAAATCGGTCAAATAATCGTTCGGTCAATTTTTTTTTTTTTACCAGATGTTCCAAAATTTATGAAAACAGGTGTAATTCGGTTGAGATTTTTAGGTCAGGTTGATCCGATTGACCCGATTAAGTCGGATAACCGGGTCAATTGTGTTACAGCTGTTTTCATAAATACTGGAACAACTGAAAAAATGCCGATGACCGAATCGATAAGTTTCTAAGTTTGGCCGGCTCGGTAACTTATCAATTCATTTTTTCAGTTGTTCCAGAATTTATCTTTGTGTAACAAAACAGCCAATTTTTTTAAAAAAATCGTCAATATTTCACCATTTTGCTTATGAAATCACTCTTCGGGTTCTAACAAAAAGGATTCTTTACATAATTTTACATATAATGCACTTAACCCTAACCTGCTAACGTCTTAGGTTCGATCATTTTTTTTAAAAAAAAATGATGAGGGGGTGAATAATTCACCTGGGTGGTGAATAAATTATTCTTTTCAATATATGTCTAATATATGTTTAATATCTTCTTTAAAAAATATTTTAAAGATATAACGATTATATAATTATTATATAATAAATATATTTTGCAAAAATACAGGTTCCTATCAAACAAAAATTTGATAATCAAATAAGTCGGACGTCAAACGATCGCAGATTAACCAAAACTAAATATATAGAATTGGTTGATTTGATGTCCGACTTGATCACAAGTATTTGACTATCAAATATTTGTTTGATTGTGCCAAGCACTATTTTTTGGGTTGTTTGATTTTCGCGTTTCTTCACATTACACCTGATCTTGAATCTGAATGGCTGGAGAAATTTAAGGTGGTGATGCTAGGGCAGGGATGTTTTAATCGGTCCCGCTTCATTAGTTTTTGAGTAGTTTTGATGGGACCCGAACAGTGTGGAGAAAATGTAACAGAAAAATTATTTTTCTATGCCTTTATTAATTGGACGAATACCGGTTAAAAATGCCAATTTTTTATAAATCCTGCTCAAAGTCGGCTTACAATTACTGCGGGACTGATTAACATCCCTATGCTAGGGTGGTTTTGTCTTTTCGTGCAGGTCACGTGAAGTCGCGAGTAAGACGTCCAATCTATATATACAGAGCTGTGTTCGATTATAATGTTAATTGAGAATCAACAATTTTGGATCGACGCCAAACAAATCTTCATGAATAAATTATTTTTAAATATCATTTTTCTATTAAAATTATTTATTAATGTAAATTAAAAATAATATATTCAAATTTACTAATTAATTTTATTTTAATTTACTACTTACCATTCAGAATTTGCATTCATATTGTGATGAAAGTGTAAAGTGATTAATTAGTAATTGTCCAGAGCATAGTGAAGAACATTTAATGATTAGTATGATTAGTCAAGGTGATAGATATTATAGTTGCGTTTTTTTGATGTATCAATGATTACCTAATCAATAACGTAATTCAGTAATTTTATAACTTGATGTTTGTCTGCAAACATGCATTAGTTGCATTTTTGATTCACTTTTTAGTGTAATAAAAACATTAAGTTCCAGACAGAATCATCCAGAACGACCATCAAAAGTGCAGTAACGTGACTTGTGGTGCAGCCAAACCAAACCACACACAACTTTATATACTAACGCTAATAAAGCCACAGCTGTTCACAAGAAAAAATATTTGCGATCCAACTTTACCACGAACAGGCCTAATTTCTTTTTTTTTCGGTTCAAAATTTAAAACTTAATTTCCGGCCAAATTAGAATTTTGAAGATCATCGGCCTAAATTAGATTAATGCAGGGCAAATGTTTTTGATCACGTTACTGCACTTTGATTCTTTTTTTGAAAAACATTCATTGGTAAGCAATTATCAGATAGATAAAAACTTCATTTTTATTGGCTGAAGCAAACAGGCCTTAAAACGAGCCGTCCTCGGTCTGTTACCAAATTTAGTATTTTGAACCAAGGCCCCAATTAGAGCGGACCGTAATATACTTACAATCTTCTCATGACAACATGCACAAGGATAACACAAGCTACAAAGAAACTGTACGATTAAATCTAATCTAAATAGTTAATATATGCACTTATATGGCAAGATAAAACTTTAAAAATTATAAATTGTAGATCCCATACACTAAGATAATCTATTTCACATAGCACACATTCTATATATGGTAAGATAAACTAAAAATTTATAGACTGTAGATTCCATTCACAAAGAGCTAATTCATTATACAACTTTTTCAATGATTTCAGATATACGTAACACAAGTTACAAATAAATGTACGATTCTAAGTTTATATATGCGCATAACTATTACACTTCATTCTCAAATATGGCAAGATTAAACACTATAAAACTCTATATAATACAGTAAACTCAGTAAATTCTGATTGTCACCTATCAAACTTGAATCGTAACAACGTCCTAGCATAGCTTAAATTAAATTTTACACGAATGGATCCAATTAATCTAAGTAAACAATATGAAACAAATCAGATTATCGTCGAGCCATGTCTTGTCGAAGGAACCACTCTTTTAAAAATTTCATCAGGAAAGCAACAACAAAAAACTTTCAAAATCGACATTGATCAAGGTCAAATTTTATGGAATTCCAAAAAATCTGGAAAAAGTAATTATTACTTCTATTTTTTATTGATTTGACAAAAATATTTTGATCTTTATTTTAATTATTAACAATTCTCGTGCTCGCACTATCTCTTTAGTCGACATTGAAAGTATTGAGGAGATTCGAGTTGGTGATGCGATACGAAGTTATAGGGAACATTTCAAACTTAATGAAGATATTGGGCCTCGGTGGTTCACCATCATTTATGTTGATTTTGGAAAATATAAAACTCTTCATTTAGTTGCTCCGACCTTAGAATTATTTAATATATGGATTGAAAATTTGAATAAACTATATTTGCACAGAAAAGATATAATTGGAGGTTTAGATCATTTGAGAAAACGGAATACTTTATGGCTGAACCAATACTGGAAGGAGGCTGATAAAAATGGCGATTCAAAATTAAGTTTAGATGATGTTGCAAAATTATGCTATACTTTGAATATATCCATGTCACGTTCTCTGCTTAAGACCAAATTTAATGTTTGTATTAATACATATATTATTAGATTAAATAATTAGATTAAATAATAATTATAAATATTTTTTTTAAAATCTCAATTCATGTTAATATTTCTTAATTATAGGAAGCAGATGAAAATAAGAATGGTTATCTTGATTTTAATGATTTCCAGCGATTGGTGAAGTTAATTAAACAAAGGGTTGATTTGGATAAACTATTTAATTCTCTGGCAAAAGAGCGTGGTAATATTTTGACATTACGAGAATTCAAAGACTTCCTTGTTAGAGTTCAAAAGGTTTTTTCTTTTCTTTTTTTTTTTTTTTTTACTGCACGGTCTAATTGAATTTATTAGTTGAATACTTTGACTAATATTATTATTTTATAACGAGCTAGTGCACTTTGAAAGAAGAAGAATATGATTATCTTTATTATAAATTTTGTGATAAAGACGTTAAAGAGATGGACTTAGAAGGATTTTGCAGTTTTCTCATGTCCAGCGACAACTCCATTTTTGCTCCAGAGCATTCCAAAGTTTTTCAAGACATGTCACAACCATTAAGTCATTATTTCATCAGTTCTTCACACAATACGTATGTTATAATAATATTTGAAAGTCCATTTTTTTCTTACTTTAAATTAACTACTAATTCTTTTTTGTGGATTTATTTTATCATTTAGATATCTTCTAGGAAATCAACTGAAAGGTAAATCCTCAGTCGAAGGATACATTCGTGCCTTTCGGGAAGGATCTCGTTGTGTTGAAAGTATGAATATAAATTTATCTCATATATAAATTATACTTTTTTATATTTGTAATGCACTTTAGAATACTATTATATATTACTTATAAATCATATTGATTTCTTTTATAGTCGATTGCTGGGATGGACCTGATGGTCCCATTGTTTACCATGGACATACATTGTAATTAAATTTTTATACTTGTATGTCATTTGTTATATTATAGTATAGTGACAAATTTTAATATAAATTAGGACAACTAAAATCAAGTTTCAAGATGTTATTTCGGCAATCCGTACCTACGCATTCAAATATAGTCCTTATCCAATAATAATATCGCTTGAGGTTCATTGTTCTATTGAACAACAAATCCAAATGGCTTCTATTTTATCTAACACTCTGGGTGAATGTCTTGTCACTAAGTTCTTATCGGAAAACGAAACAGAATTACCGAGTCCTGAAGATTTGATGTACAAAATAATATTAAAAGTAAGCATTTGCTATAAGTTATAGATCATTCTTATAAATACTTGATTATCAAATATTACCAACGTACACATATATTAATTTAAATCTCTATATTCAGGGGGTCGACACAATTACTGACGCTAAACCTGAGTCTGAGGTTGAGGCAGATTTTAAATCACCTAAAGGTATGTCTTTTTGGGAACATCTATTAATACATTCATATATTAATATTATATTATTAAGATTATTTCTTATTAAGAATTTATTCTTCTATTCAATAGATGTAGTAGAAAAAGAAAAAAAAACGACCAAAGTGAAAGTTGCAGAAGCTCTTTCAAACTTGATAGTTTACTGTAATTCTGTTAAGTTTGGAGGATTTGATCATGGTATGCTTATTAAAACTATAAATTTAAGGATAATATTTTCTAAAAAATTAATAAATTATTAATATGTAGATAATTTGAAGTACTATGAAATGTTTTCGCTTAACGAAAAAGCTTCTTCAAAGCTTTTGAAACCTGACAAGGCTGCTTATATTCGGCACAATATTCGCCATTTAACACGTATATACCCGTGGGGTTTTCGGGTAGATTCGTCAAATTATGAACCACATCATCAATGGATGGTTGGAAACCAATTGGTTTCTTTAAATTCGCAGAAATTTGGTTAGTTCAGACTTTGACTTTTTTTTTTCGTTTATGATATTTTATATAATCTTATATTGGGTTATTTCAAGACCTAGGAATGCAAATCAATGAAGCTATGTTTTCTGTCAATGGCGGATGCGGTTATGTACTCAAACCTGAGCGATTGCGCAATCCCAATGCGTCTCCAGATATAAATACATCACGAACTTTGACAATTGAAGTATGTCAATTTGATAAATTTGACCTTATTTGAATTATAAATCTTAACACACTTTTCTCTTTTGACTGAATAGATAATTTCTGCACAACAACTCCCAAAAGATTCCCCCAAGGGTGAGATAATTGATCCATTTGTTGAAGTAGAATTGCTTGTCCCTGGAGCCGAAGCTATTAAACAAAAAACTAGCACCATATCCAACAACGGTTTTAACCCTACGTGGAACAAAACCCTTAAATTTACATTTAACTACGAAGAAATGAGTTTAGTATTTTTGAGGTAAATAACTAAGACCAATTAATGCTTCGTTATAATTCTTTTAAATAAAAAAACATTAAAAATTGTTTGTTAATCTGAATTTATAAAGATTTGTTGTCTGGGATGATGACCTTATTGCTAGTAATGATTGCCTTGCATCTTATTGCATTCCCTTAGCAAGTTTACAATTTGGTGAGAAAATATTGAATTTTTATTTTATTTTATTTTGTTACCTATTAATAATTCTTAATAAATGTTCTTTACCACTTTTTAGGGTACCGTTATGTCCCACTAAATGATTCTATTGGCAAAAAATATCCGTTTTCTACTTTATTTATTTGTTCTTCTCTCGAATCTTGCGTGTAAATGATGATAATCTTATAATTTTAGTTTAGACGACTATATTCTAAACCTTGGTTTTATACTTGCAGAGATAAATTATGTATTTTAAAGCTTTTTATTTAATACACATATAGTTTAAATATATAAAAAAAGGTTTTAAAGTTATTTGATATAGAAACCGATTGAGGATATTGTTAAAAATGTGAGTTCTTCAGTTTACAATGCATAAAAACTACGCTGTGAAAGTTATAAGTATTTGCTAATTGTTGATTTTTCTTATTTGTGTCGATAATAATCTCTTGAAAATGAAGGTTTTAGGGTTACGGTGTTGTGACTAGAGAATACATAACGATGAGAATAAAAACATGAATATACACCTCTCACTACAATAAATTAGTAATAATTATATCCTGATCCGTTGGGTATTAGCGGGACTTTCAGCCCCGCTAATTCACATACGGTCAGGGTATTATTAATTAATACTCCCGTGATCTTGAATAGTGATCGGGGTATTATACTAGAAATCAATCATATGAAAATACTAGCCACCGATTCTTAAATTCGATTCATTTATGAAATTTGTCGTGCGCTCTTTTTTCCTTGTAATTTCGGATGTTCGGAGGCGTTTATTTATTACTTATAATATACAAAGAGTTTGATATTTCTTTTCTGCGCTACTCGACACATTTAATTTGCTCTTATTCATCGTTTCTGCTCTATAAGACACTATTTCATCGCTGAAATATTTGAGGATTTTTTTTTCTAATTTCGTTGTGATTACGCGTTATATGCATCAAAAATGCATTTTAAATGTTTTTTTTTTTGCCCTACCTTATTTGCGAGTACCAAAGCTGGGTTTCATTGACTGTATTGTCGTGCCTGAAATTTAAACTTGCCTTAAGTTCCTAAATTACCAGCTAACGCGTGAAGTGCAACATCAGGCACCTTAAGTTGCAGGCTCGACATCGACATGCAATTTCATCTATAGCACATTATTCGATAAAACATATATTTGATGTTACATGTTTTTTACTATCCTTTCTTACACAAGACATTTCCTCGACAATTATTTTCCCGACATATGATTCTAACCAACACTAACTCTAATTCTGAACAACCCTAATGCTAAATTGGGCCAATTTTATGAGTATTTTATGTTGAGAAAAATGATTGTCGAGGAAATATCTAAGAAAAGGATTGTTAAAAACATGCAATGCGAATATATATCATACCGAAAAACGTGCCATAGATGAAATAGAAGGTCGGCATTACGATGTCGTGGAAATGAGTTGGCGCGGAAGTAACTTTCAGGAAATTGAGCGACAACACTTGCGACTGTAAAAATTCCAAATTTTAGAAAATGCGTAACCTAATTTGAAAAAATTAATATAAAAAAAATAAGAATAAATCAGGTATTATTCGCAAAATATACATACTATATACGTATCTTCCGTAATCTTTTTGATAATTAGTTTGGAGCTAAATCCTAATCCTAATTTTGGCGATCTTCTTAATGATATTTTTATTCTTAATACTTTATGGTTGACTTATATACAAGTTAGTTCGCCAATCCTATGTGTTAACATTATAGCTACACCAGTGTTGTTGCTAGACCGTTCCGGTGGATATCACTGGAACTGGAAGATTGAATGGAACTAAATGGAACAGTTGTCACTAGACTCTTCCAGTCACACTTTTTTTTACCACTGGATGAAGTTCAAATGACGTCCAGTGAAAAATATTAATGCACATTAATTAGTTGGACATACATCTTTAGTTAGGTTCTCATATCGATCTCTGATCCCAATTAGTGTGATGCAATAGCAGCATGTCCTATACAGATAATATGTTCATCCTTTTCAACGTTGACAACAACCAAGATTATTATTTCTCATTTCTGTCGATTGATACCAAGAACCCAGTGGAAATGTGCATTTATTCATATAAATAATTTGTTTACTCATGTCACTTTCTATTCAGTCAATGAGTATAATTTTTAAAATCACAATAAAAGTTTATCCTAAATACGGTAAATGTGCTTATTGTAATAAAGGTAATAAAGACAACATGTTAAAAATATGGTGCCTGATGGTTGATTTAGAAAATTTCATCTTACGTGTATATTGGATTTCATTCTATTCAATAGTTAAAGAAATTTGCAATGGAAGATTCATTTATTCAGCAACCTGGTTGAATGGCACACAAAAAGTTGTTGATATAGTTATAATTATCGAAAAGCACATGGACCTCTAGCATCATTGCACTCAAAACATTGGTTAGTTTCAAGGAAAACAATTTTAAAAGGAGGTTGTTAACTTATCCATCGTTAAAATTTTAAGTTTAGAAGTATTATAAAATGCGAATTAAATTATAGTAAGCTTGCAATATATAAAATAACTCAAAATTCAGAAACATATAAATATTGTTTTAATGGAATTTCATAAATACAGTATTTAGAAGATAATTTTACTGTAAGACCTCTATAAGTGCACGCCCTATGTAAATTCTCTCTAAATGCATAGCATAGCTTAGCCCCAACCTATAAGAGCACTATATATTTTGATCTCTATAAATGCACACACTCTTTAAGTGCACATTTTGCTTTTTTTTTTTACTATGGTGCCGAGGGGGGCGCACTTAGGGAGGTCTTTCTGTAGTAAAATTAAATTACAAATACAGTATATACTTAAAAATATTCAGAGCTGGAAGCCTGTCAACGAAGTGACAGGGCGTACATTATTGCGAGATCAGATGACTTTATTTGGTCACATGTTTTTAATTTGTTTTATCCTTTTATCGTTATGGCATTTGATTGTTTGTTACGTATATCTGGTTAAATGCGGGTTTTTCAGCGATTGTAAGATTGAGTATTGTAG